TGCATTTATATGGTTTCTCCCCTGTGTGAATCCTATTATGAGAATTAAGATGACTGCTAGTAATAAAGGTCTTTCCACACTCCATGCACTTATATGGCTTCTCCCCTGTGTGGATCCTTTTATGGGAAGTAAGGGAATAACTATGACTGAAGCTCTTTCCACACTCCATGCATTTATATGGTTTCTCCCCTGTGTGAATCCTATTATGAGAATTAAGATGACTGCTAGTAATAAAGGTCTTTCCACACTCCATGCACTTATATGGCTTCTCCCCTGTGTGGATCCTTTTATGGGAAGTAAGGGAATAAGGACGACTGAAGCTCTTTCCACACTCCATGCATTTATGTGGCTTCTCCCCTGTGTGGATCCGTTTATGGGCAATAAGTTGACTGCTTGTCCTGAAGCTCTTTCCACACTCCATGCATTCATGTGGTTCCTCCCCTGTTTGGATCCTTTCATTTGAGGTAACCTGACGGCTTGTTCTAAAAATCTTTCCAGATTTCAAACATTTATATGGCTTTCCCACTGTGTGGATCCTTTTATGAGATGTAAGAGACCCATTTTCACAGGAAAGAGTGAAAGTCCAATTGTGATTTTTTCCATTGTCTCTGAATATATGATCTTCTCCTTTGGTTTGGGTTGGAGAGTGTTCATTTTCCACTAATTTGTCTTTTAACAGTCTTACATTTTTTCCCATATACTTTTTCTTTATTTTTCCTTGTTGGGCAAGAAAGCCTTGCGTCTCGGCATCCATGGAAGATGGGTTTTCCTGATTCCAACTATTTGACTGGCTTCTCTCATGACTTTCTAGTTGCATCTGTAGTTCCTTGTCCATTCTGCCTCCATGCCTGATCACTTCGATTTTTTCACTGGAGTCTTTATTCTTATACATTTTTTCCCATATACTTTTTCTTTATTTTTCCTTGTTGGGCAAGAAAGCCTTGCGTCTCGGCATCCATGGAAGATGGGTTTTCCTGATTCCAACTATTTGACTGGCTTCTCTCATGACTTTCTAGTTGCATCTGTAGTTCCTTGTCCATTCTGCCTCCATGCCTGATCACTTCGATTTTTTCACTGGAGTCTTTATTCTTATAGCCATGATCACCTTCAAAGGAAAAGAGAAATGAACATGATAGCAAGGTTGGGGGAAAAGATCAAACTGTAGGATTTGCATGTTTGCGTCCTTACAATGGCATGGTATAGAAATGATAATTTCTATATTCATGAGCGATAATAGCTTTGAAAATATCTACAGCATCCGGTTTGTTTAGAATTATCCTTATATAGTCAAATCTTACCCAGAGTCAGTGTTGAGTTCAGGAAGAATCTGGGGAAACATCCAAGGAGGCATTAGGAGAAAACCTAACATTAATTGGAGGGGGGGTCAATAACAGGAAAGACCAGTGAGAACTAAATCAATTTTGAAATTCATCCTTTTCTTCCTACCCAAACTACCTTCCATTTGCTATTCATTTTTCAAATGACAAAATCACATGGTTGCAGAGAAAAAAAATTCTAGAGCTCTTCTATGAACCCTAAACAGCACGTTTGCAATGGAAAAACAGCACCATTTTGCCCTCAACCCCAAGGTTCAGGATAGAAATCAAAAGGAAGACAAGTCATTAATACAACAGCCTGAATAAATGAGAATCGTTCAGAGGACAGGGAAGCATCTGGGCCCAAAAACCTGAAATCAGTGTGATGGAGTTGAGCATCTCCTGAAACCAAGGAGTGAGTTTCTCACTGATACCTTTAAATAGAAATTGAAAAATTCACCAGATAAGAAATACATGTAAGCAGAGAGCCACTGACGTCCTTCCTTCCTTGGAGCAGGAGAAGGCCAGTTCTTTTCCTTCTCCCTCCCAAGAGTTGACATCTGGTTGGCTATTTTTTTAATAAGATAGAGCTGATGGCATCTAACTACAAAATGTCTTCCCAAACTCTCTGATGGGAGAGAAGCAAACC